TTCCCTTAGAGAGGGCTGAGAGGGACTCATTTGGGGATGCTCACCCTCCATGCAGCTAGTCCTGGAGCCCAGTCTGCTAAAAGAAGAGGGCAGGGGGGTCTTGTCTGGCAGTATCATCCTAAAGCCAGAGTCCTTCTGTGTCTTGGTCACTCCAGACCCCTGGGAGCTCTCCCCAGGGCTCAGGGCTGCTACCCCCGTGCCCTGCGCCAAGCCCAACCTGCTTCAGCAAACAGGTACTGGGGCCAAGAGACAGGAGGGGGCAGGTAGGAGGCGGTGAGATGGTGCTTCTCGGTGTGTGTCCCTGTGGGGTGGGGGCTGGGACACATGGTGCATTTCCATGCTGTGGACTCTCCTCTCTTTCTGATCCCCAGAGGTCCCCTTTCGCTAGACCCGAGCTAGCAGCTGGGTGAGAAATGATTTCCCCTTGCCAAGAAATACTGAGGCAGTGCAATCATTGTTCCAGCAAAGATCAACTCAAGTCTGAGTTTTTTCAGAATAAAAAAAAAAAGGAATACATTTTAGAGTCTCTTGAATGAAAACCTGAACGTGCCTGGGATATTTTCTTGCTATGCTAAGCCACTTCCCAGGGCAGAAACACCTGGAGGGAACATCTCCCATCAGCTCGTCCTCCCGACTACCCCGCTGCTTGCCCGCTGCTCGCCAAGCCTCTGCCTATGAGGACCCCAAATGGCCCGCGGCTCCGGCTAGTTGCAAACCTGCCTTTTGTCTTCACTGCAAGCTCCCCCGGCCCATCCCAAGAGCCGCTCTCCCCTTGCCAAGACAGGGTCCTGCAGTCTCAAGGGCCTGTCTGTGGGGTGCCAGCTGTACCCCGGAGGGTCCTGGATGGAGAGGCCAGGGCATGCATTGAAGGGTGGTGCCTGGGGTAGGGATCAGGTGAAACCCGTTTGGATTAAACAAGAGCAGCAAGCATCTCCAGGGGCTCAATCTGAGCCACGATGGCTTTTCTCTACTGAGGAAATCAATGGGGCTACCTTTGCTTGCTGTTACCGGTGCTTCCATCTCCTTGAATGCAGCGGGGCAGTGCATTAGTCAGGGAGCCCGGGAGGCCAGGGTATCATGCTGTTTTGGGATGATGTTGTCCATGCCCTCCCTTTGGTTGCTCCCACCCAGCTCCCTCCTGCAGGGGCTCGTGTGTGTGGGGCATGACTCCTATTACCAGGCTGGGCTCTGGCCCCCTTGCTGGTCCAGGGATGCATCAGCCACACTTATTGCATGCAGGGGTTTAGCAGCGGGGCAGGGGGAGGCCTTCTGGCTCCAGCCCCGCTGGAGAACTATTGCCAGAGCAAAGCCATGGCGGATGGAGCCAGGAGGCCACGTGCAGTGGGTCTCGCTCTACTGGAGAGGCGTCGGCAAGGCAGGCCCTCCAAGGTGACCTGCTCGGGCCGCACGTGTTCCAGCTGGCTGGCCAACCTCTGCTATTATTAGTGCAGTAGGGCTTTATCGGGGGCAGGATCTTTCCCCTACGCAGCTTTCCAGAATCCCTCAGGGCTGCGTATTTTTGCTGGCAGCTCCCCTTTGCTGTTTGGGGTCAGGGGGTGTCTTGTTCTTCTTGCTAAGGACAACCCAAGGTGCCTGGGTGCCCGGCTGAATTTCAGCCCCTTTGGAGGTATGGGCAAGGGAGTAGGGCTGGGGTTTGAAATGAGCTGGAGTCAACAGGTTGGGCCGCCCGGGGCATGTTCTCTACCTGGGATCTCTCGAGTGTACATTAACCACCTTTTCCACAAACGGGACATTGGCTGCCGTGGCCCCCCTGCTTGCCCTGTGGCAGGTTTGGGTGTGATGCCTTGTGTCATGTCGGGGTTGATGGCTGTTTTACTAAGAGGCTGGATTTGTTTAGGGTGGGCTGGATAGGCCTGGTAGGGGTTGGACTAGATGTGATGTCTGGAGGTCCCGTCCAGCTCCAAGGCTCTGGATGCTATGACTACACAGGGAGTTTGGTTGGGATGAGGGGCAGGCTCCTTCCACCACTGAGGCCAGGCTGAAGGTGGGGAGGGGGTAAATACCAGCCCTAGGAAAGCCCAGGGGCCTGGGCTGAGGGTAGAGGGGGCGAAGACACCAGACACCTCATGTAGTTCATCCAACAAGGCCTGGCTCCCAGGGGAACAGTGGCAGGTGCTTGCGGGTGTCCTGGTCGCTGAACACTGCTAGTGAAACAGGCCTAGTAAGAGCCCTTTCCCCCTCCGCGATGCAGCTCCTCTCACACAGCCCCTTGCAGCCACGAAGCCCTGGGCTGGCACCTGCCACAGTGCAACCACTCGAACGTGCCTCCTCCCGTCCATGCAGGGACTTGCTGCTCGTGGTGTGGAGGCATCACTAGCCCATGGCAACAGAGGGGCTGGACCGGAGGGAGCACGATGTGGCTAAGGAGGAGGAGAGGATCCTCATACTCAATGAAATCTGGAGGCCGTGGCCAAAGACCCGCAGGAGAGTCCAAGGTAAGAGCGTGAATGCTGCCTGACAGCACTGAAAGAGGCCATCGGGGTCATCTAACCCAGGTAGGACAGGAGACCCTATTCCCTTCAACCGCAGATGTGACCCCCCCCACAACATCAGCTTCCTAATTGCCCTGATGGTCCTTGATCTTCTAAGTCAGGGGGCAGCAACTACAGCTAGCGGAGCCACGGCCCGGGGGTTTCAGCGGCGTTTGGCAGTGGGGGCTTCTCCAGGTGAGGTGGGGAGAAGCAGCAGCTGCAGTGATGGTGTCTGGGGGCTAGCTCCTGGGTCATCCCCACCCGTAACCTGAAACAGCTGCCGACGGCTGTGCAAAGCACCTGTCCCTATAACCCTGTCCGTGCTGTGTCTTTGCTGCTCCCAGGGGACTCACCGGAGCTCAGATGGCGAGGATGTGGCCCCAAGCCATTGCTTTGGACTTGAACAGCATTTAAAAAATACCTCCACCTGGTCTTTCCAGCGGGCCCTGCCAATTTGTACAGAGCCCGTTTCCACCGTTCCCTGGATGTTTGACTTCCCAAAGAGCTCTATACAACCCAAGGCAGGGGGTGGGGAGCGGGGTCAGCAGCAGGGTTGGTCTCAATGGGATCAGCTGGTCTGGGAAGGAATCTCAGAAACCTCCGTGGAATATTTCAGCCATAATGAAGCTGCCCCTCGGGGGCACTTGCTGCTCCATGGTTAATAATTGAGCTGGCTGCAACGCGTCTTTGTGCTCCTGCCATCCCTGAGGCCCCTGGAGCTGACCGTGGTGGGGTGGATGTGACCCCCATGCCCCCCTTGCAGGCTGCCTGGACTGCGTGAAGCGCCAGCTCTTCCGCGTCGGCGAGGACTGGTACTTCCTCTTCGCTCTAGGGGTGATAATGGCCATGATCAGCTTCGTCATGGATTTCACCATCAACACGTTGCTGAATGGTAACTACAGGTGGGGGGGCTCACGACTCTGTGCTAGTGAGCCAGGACACCTGGGCTGCTTTCCTGCCGCTGACCCTCGGCAAATGCCACGTGGGTTTCATGGGGACGGCACCGCAGTACAGACCTGCCTGTTTTAGCTGGTGCGCCACACTGGGCAATGGGAATCGAGTGCTGGAAGCAAGTGCGGATGCCTGGGGGAAAGATGTGGTTGCGTGGACACCCAGAGGGGTCCACACTAGGCTGGACTGCCCCGTGATGGTCCCAGGGTGTTGTAGGTGGGGTATCAGAGTAGATGGACCTCAGCGGGTCCCAGCAGGGAGGGGTGCAAGCTACCAGATGAGCCGCACGGCTGGGATATGTCACTGGCCCATGCCCATGTGCATTTCTATGCCCCTGTTTGCCTATGCTTATTTTTCAGCACACAGGTGGCTTTACCAAGAGCTGGGGGATTACTTAGTGCTGAAGTACCTGTCCTGGACCATGTACCCCATTGCCCTGGTTGCTTTCTCCACTGGCTATGCACAGAGCATCACTCCGCATTCGGGAGGTGAGTGTGATGCTCCGCAGCTGGAGGCTGCCCGTGGGGGGCTATGAGCAGACTGATCTGCTAACGAGCTGGCCTGCACAATGGAAGAAGCTCACGACCAGTGCCCATATCCCAGGAAACCTTCCTGCGGTTGGCATGAAGTGGACCTCTAGCTGCTCAGCTCGGCAGAGAGACCAGGTGTCATGGCTGAACAAGCACTAGACGGATCAAGAGTATCTTCTTAGAAACTATTTCAGTTGCAAAAAAAGAGCCATTAGCTCAGGGACAGGTGATGACCTGCTGCTTGCCTACAAGCTCCTTAAATGGTTGAACATCTTTCTGTGGGGCATGGGCTGATGGGAGTCCAGGACACCCCAAGGACCACTGGAGACTCAACTCCCTTCATATCCCGCAAGGGTCAGGAGTTTGGGGCACTGGCAAGGCAGCAGGTAGCAGTTTGCATAGCTTCAGCTGTCCCGTGTATGGGCTTAGTGCGTAAACAGAGAACTTGACTCTCTGGGACTGGTAATCAGGATTTCCACTGGCACAAACCACCAACTGGGGACAAAACCCCTTAGCCTCCTTGCAAGCAGCAGATACCTCTTTTCCACTCTTGGAAACCAGATAAAACTGAAGACTTCTTGGGTAGAGCCAGCCCTTCTGTCTGCCTTTGGGCAATCTAATGGCCTCTGGTCTGAACTGCAAGTGTCCTGCTCAGAATACACCCTTGACCTTGTTGGCATCAGGCCCTAGCTAGGACTTGCCCTGGAAATGCAGAAGTGGAGACCCAGATGTTGCCACCTTCATTTCCTTTAGGTTTGGATCACTGTGTGGCACCCAGATGTGCTCTGATGTGTCCCCCATTTCTGGGCTTTTCCAGGCTCTGGCATCCCGGAGCTCAAGACCATTCTCACCGGGGTCATGCTGGAGGACTACCTGGCCATCAAGAACTTCGGAGCCAAGGTGGTGGGGATGACCTGCACCTTGGCCGCTGGGAGCACCATCTTCCTCGGCAAAGTCGTGAGTGTCTCCAGACCAGCTTCACAGCTGGTGGGGATGGAGGGGTGGATATAGGGCTGGCAACTGTGGAGTGCTACCATGGAGTGGTTCGTCCACTGTCAGGGTTAGCGTGAAGGTATGGCAAGGAGACCGGGCCAGACAACAGAGTTGCTGCAAAGAAATTTTCCAAATTGTGGGTGAGATGTGGAGATGTAGAGATGTGGGGATGTCCAGGGAATGGGAGCCCACCCCAGCCGGGGCAAGTCGTGCAGCTCCTCTCACTTCAGAGGGGCCCTGAGGATTTACATCAGCTGAGCATCTGCTTCCAAGTCACGGCCCGGGAAGGGAGCCTGATAGCTGGGGGAGCCCTCTGGTTCGAGTCACCCCAGCGGCTTCGGAGCCCAATGAGAGATGGGACATGTGTAGACCTGGGCTAATAGGCTGTGATTCATAGCACAATAATTAGCCTGGAGGCAGGGTCATACGAATAGAGCTCTCCTAATTCTGGTTCCCGAGCTAGAATGAGTACAGCTTAGTGCCTAGAGGTCTAGTTTTGCCTTGGCGTGTGTTAAAATAAAAGCCATTTTGCAAAGGGCCCAGCTTCCCCGGCTGTCTACATTTGTTTTGGCTGCCGTTAACTGCAGCTTTCCCCTTAATTTCAGAAAGCCCTGTTTGGGAATGATTACAGCATGTCTGTAGCACTTCTAACCCTCGAATGCCCGATGTGTGCGTGCAGCCATTTGCCAGCCTTAAAGCAGCTTTTTGCCCTAGCGCTGCATCTCCTGTGAACCCGGTTCACCAGAGCATCCCTGAAGCTTGCGTGTTAGCAATCCCTGCAGTGAGAAGGACCTCCCTCGGCGGCCTGCGCCCATACGTTTCACTGCGGGAGGAGTTGTAAGCAGCTGAGGGTAAAGCATGAACTGATTTGACCCTAAGCTGAAGTCAGACATGTGCTGGAGGTGTTCATTTAAAAATAAGAAAGTGTTACTATGGTCCCCCTCGGCGGGGTGGTGGGAACGCCCCTAGGAATAGCTCCGCAATGCCCAGCTGCAGGCTTTGCAGGCACACGGGAGGGAGCATTGGTTCCCTCTAGTGACTGTGATGTAGGGAGCGTGAAGGTCTTGCCACTACTGGCAGGTGTGCTGCCTTCTCCTTTCGCATGGCAGGGAGTGCAAGGGTGCTAGGTGTGCTCCCTTGGGGGCCCGTGTGAGCTGGATGGTCCTGGTGCCTGGCGTTCGCCGTGCGGCGCTATGGCACATGGATTTGTTGATTCATTGCAGCACAAGGTACCAGATAATCTCTGGAGAGGGTCGGCTCTCATGGGCTTTCCAGCTCACACCCTTGCCCAGAGAAGTTCAGACGATCGCTGGGGCCAAGTTCATACCTGTTGCTCCAACTGCACCGACGTCAGCCGCTTACACCGAGGCTAAACTTGGCTGTCGGGCTTTTGGCCGTTTCTCCGAACTGAAACTCCTGATTTTCAGACCATTGCTCTTTCGGCAAAGCATTCAGAGTCCCACGCCCCTTCTCCTCCAGGGTCCCTTCGTCCACATTTCCAGCATCATGGCTGCCTATTTGGGAAAGATTCGGACTTCAGTCATCGGGGAGTACGAGGTAAGGCCAAGACCGGGGCAGCACCCTGTTGATGGGGGAAGGGGAAACTCGGGGCATCATGCCCGCTCCCCAAGACTTCTCTTCAGCTACCAGGCTGATGTGTTGATTTGCATCTCATATGCATATTTTAGCGGTTATTTAGTTTAACAGACATGTATTGACATTCTTAGTTGTGATGCGTTATTATGCCTTTGGAAATAAGGAATGGCATTTTTATTAATCCCCCCACCTGATTTTTGTCAAGCCACTTGGAATGAAAATCAGTATGCAATGAAACATGCAAAACACCAGCAGCGAAGGCATTTCTTGTTGAAAACGGGTTGAAGGTATAAAAAGGTCTGTCAAACGTTTGCATTTCAGATGAATGCATGCATTAAACAAAGTCAATATTATTTGTCATCAGTGAATTCAGCTGGTTGTTTCCAGTCCCCGCGTGCTTCAAGAGTTTAGAGTTGGGAGATCTCAGCCTTTCCCAGCTAGCTTATATTCGTAGACTGGAAATGGAAAAGAAGCTTTCTTGGGTTTTTTTTCTGACTCGTAACTGGTTTCTAAACTTTGAATAAACACGTTATCATAGGATCATAGGGCTGGAAGGGACCTCAGGAGGTCACATCTAGTCCAACCCCCTGCTTGAGGCATCCCTATCCAAATCACCCCGTACTAGTGCTTGTGTCTGACCTGTTCCTAAACCTATAGATACAGCCCTATCGTGCAGCTACAAGGCACATTGCCCCCAAACCGCGAGGAACACCCCAACTGGTCAAAGGTAAGGGAGGGGGACGAGGGCCTTCTCGAGGTCCTGCCGCTGCAACTGAGCCAAACTGAAATGACTTTAGTCTCTCTGTATCTGCCAAAAAGTCCCCAGCTAGCAAACCCTGGTTTCTCTCTTCAGTGACTCTGGTTCCAAGTGCTTAACCAAGGACTTCTCCTTGTCTGCTGGTTTGCTATTCTTTAAAACATCGGTAGGAAACATACACTGCTTGAATATTCTGCTATATTTAAATATTTTAATAGATTTGGGTAGTTAGTTTAAGCCTTGATATTGGCTATCAATCGCTAAAGGAAAATATATTTTATTTAAATTAAAATTAAAAAAAAAAATGAGTCCAACTACTAGATGAACAAGCCCTCGGGCAGTGCAGTTGTGATTCTCCCTTGGGGCTAAAGTCGGAGGCCAAACAGCTCTCTTCTGTGTGTGTTGTCCCCCTCTTTCCAGAATAAAAGCAAGCAGAATGAAATGCTGGTGGCAGGAGCTGCTGTTGGGGTCTCGACTGTCTTTGGGGCGCCCATTAGCGGTAAGAGTCTCCCAGGCGTGATGTGCAATAACCTAAATTTCAGAAGGGAACAGTCAAAGACTTCCACTCTGCAAATGATAAAACGGGACTGATACAGCCCTGGTGCGGCTCCCCCAATGGCTACGCACCCAGCCGTGGTGTTTGGGACTCACTATGCTGGACCTAGATGCTCTTAAGCTTCCCATGGCTTGGGTAGGCTGCAATTCTCTTGCCTTGCTTGCACTGTCTAGGCACGAGCTGGTTGTTCCCCCTTTAGAGCCCATCTGCCCTAAATTCCCAGACCTGACCGCTCCCCAGTCGCTGAAGCACGCATTTTTGGAGAGGCCCAGCCTTGTGACTGCTCTGGTGACCGGTATAACTCCTTGGGGGATGCATGAGAGGGAGAAGCAGGCAGACGGGTCTGCTTTGTAAGGGTTTCTCAATGCAATGCCTCTTTACTTTCACTAGCACAAGGTCTCAGTAAAAACACGTCCACCTAAGAACACCTACATGGTATAAGTCGGGCTCCTCTCTGTTCAGCTTCTTCCTCTACTGCATGTGGCCTGTCATCTGAATCATGGACTCTGTCTGTCTGTCCCTCCCTCTCTGACTGTTGCATCCAGAGCCCAACCACTCTCCTACCCAAGCCCCCTGCACCATGGCTGGCAAGATCCCCTGCCTTTCATGCTCTCCTGGCTACCAACCACCAGCCAGATCCACCTCTCCTTGCTTTAGCTCCTATGTTTTAGCTTGTCCACTGTATTGCCAGGTCTTCCTATCCAAATGGCAATAAATCTGGATAGTCCACTCAGCCACCCTAGACATATGTATCCGTACTAGTCCACTGATAGCTCGCTTCCCTCCCTGCTAAGAAGTGACTTCTTTGTAGCCACCTAACAGGCAGCATGACTGGCAAATCAGGCCAGGCAAAATGTGTCATTAGGACAGTGGAGAATCTTCCATGTTTTCCACGGGGGCATTTTAACACTCTCATAAAGGCTTTATCCCCATGCTGAGATCTTGTCCCCATGAACAAGCAACTAGGACCCTTTGGGAGCCTGTACACCTTCCCTAGGGTGCAGTGTGCAGGCAGGAGCACACAGCTCTGTCTGAGATGTCCCCAGCTCCTGGATGCATCTAACTCACAATGGGAGTGTCTACACGTGCTTTTACACTGGCTTAAAGTCACTGCACAGTAAATGGAAACAGGCCGGCATCTACACGTTCAGGCATTAAAGTGCATTAATGCTGTGTGTGGACTGACTTGGGACTAAAATTAGTCCCAAGTCAGTCCACACACACACACACACACACACACAGAGCGTTGTTGCGCAGTAAAGCATCTACACGTGCATTACTGTGCAATAACTAATTAGACATACATTTTTGATGCAGGTATCAAATTTGCGCCCAAGTTGGCATGAGTTGCTCTATTTACTGCACAGGACAGATGTGCACTTGTAGATGCACACTGGTACTGTGCAGGAATCTTGGTAACTGCGCAGTAAATGTGCACGCGTAGATGTGCCCAGTAGGTATCTTGTACCATTAGCACCGTAGAGGTATGCCCGGTACCACCGTAGTAACCAGAGACCTGCTTTTACCCAGGGGTGCTGTTCAGCATTGAGGTGGTGTCTTCTCACTTTGCTGTCAGGGACTATTGGAGGGGCTTCTTCTCAGCCACCTGCGGGGCCTTCATGTTCCGCCTCCTGGCCGTCTTCAACAACGATCAAGGTAAAGAGGACGGCGGCAGCTGCATGGCAAGGCGAGGGTGCCACGGCTGGCAATGACAAGGGGGTGGTGGTGGGGGGACAGGCTGTACCAGTCAGGCACAGGATGGCTGTGAGCCACCAGTGGGATTGTTTATGCCGCTAAAGTGATTTACAGTAATTGTGTAGGATTCCCCTAAATTTCGGTCGAACCCAGCTGATTTAATCCCTGCTAAATCCTCAAGCGCTTTCCCTTAAGGAGCTGCTGTATAATAGCCATACCCCCTGCGTTGTGGTCCTGCCTCCTCTCATGAAAGAAGCAGGGCTGGCATGGAGGTGAGATAGCTCATGGGGGGTTTGATAGGACATCAGGGGATAAAGTTATCCAGCATGGATGCATCCTGCTGATTCACTTGGCAGTCAGATCAGGCGGGCCCTATTCATTAATTCAACCGCAGCAGTGGAAAAGGAGTCAGAGACCTCTGGAAACTTTGCCAAGGGGGCAAGGGATTGTAGAGATGCTGCAGGGAAAAATCCAGTGCTTTGGCTCACTTCTGTCTCAGCTAATAACATTTTTGTCTTATTACTGCCCTCGGCCCTTTCTCCTGATGTGTTGTGCGTGGCTTTTTTTTTGTATGCCATTAACCCTCCGCCGTGCTCCACCTGCGTTTCAGCCGTGGTAGGATGATTCCCTTGCACGTCTGCGGGTATAGTTTGTCAGGCCCTGGCTATACCTTGGCCTAGCCTACTTATGAGTCAAGTATCACCAGTGTGTTTTATTTTTCTGGGAAAAGGATTCATCTCTTTTTCCAGGACAATCCAGAAAAAGATGCTAGTCTTTGAAAGCAGACTGCTGAGGTTTAGCCTGCGTAACCCTTCTGCACCCAGCTAAAAATCAGCTCTTTAATAGGCCACGCTGTGTCTTTGATGACTTGGATGCTGGTGAAAGGATCTTGGTCTATCACATCTTGTTCTGAACACCGGGGGTGCAATTTCAGACACGGCCGCGCTGGAAAAAATCGATAGACTCCCGTGGTGTCAGCCGAGGGGACTGCAGACAAACAAAGGGAAGATTAAATGAGACGCGCAACCTCTGACGGTCTGCTGCACTGAAGCATAAATGGCTTTGGCAGCCTGTCAGCCCAGGCTCTAATGGATGTTTGCTTGTGGCATAGCCATTTGGTGTGATTAGTGGCCTTGGGGCCACAGGCCGGGGCTGAGATGTGCTGGTAGTGCTGCGTGGCTGGGAGAAGCCAGGCCTGAGACCGCAGTGGAGTGCATTTGAGATGCAGAATGCTGCTGGTTTTGGTCCTGGGCAAGGTACTTCCTAGCAGGACCCCAGACTCTGCAGCCCAGAGCTGTGTCAGGTGCATCACCCCAGGTGGATATATTTCTTGCTGGGGTCGCTTGATCCCAGCTGACTTCCCGCTTATGGTGGGGCGGGGGCTGGACCCGACGATCTCCCTTCCAGCCCCTAACGTCTATGAAATCTAGGAACCCCTGGTCCCTGCACTGCTGCTGTCCTCTACATCGTGTCTCCTTTCCTGGGAGCCCGTGGGAATGCCGCATCTTCCGAGTGACCACTCGTGGAAACCAGGCTGGGTCTGGCACCGGAGTCATACACCCCGCTCCTCCACTCCTGGCCATCGCCCCATGCTAACCGACTAATATATAGTGTTGAATCACCCTGTGCTCTCGCTGGTAATGACTTGTGACTCTTCCCTTCTCCCAGAAACCATCATGGCTCCCTTCAAGACCAACTTTAAGATCGATTTCCCCTTTGACCTCCCGGAGATATTCTTCTTCATGATTCTTGGGTAAGAGCAGGTCCGGTCTCGGCTGCTGCTTTGCCTTTGCTCAGGGCAAAGATGTTGCCTTTAAGAGGAGGAAGGTCAAGCAGATCCTTAAGTGTCCTGGGATTTAGGACACCTGGGTTGAGGTCCTACCACTGTGGTGGGCCAGTCACTTTTTTGGCCTCAGTTCCTCATCTCTAAAACAAGCAGCAGCCTCACGGGGAGGATAGTACCTCGAAGGATGTGGGGTGCTCTGATGCCCGGTGATGAGGGGTGTTCAAGTGCTGGATGGATGTTATTAGCCAAGCCTAGCAAGACCTCTGTCCCTGGCCTCTTTATGTTCCCAGAGCACAAGCGATCACCTTGGAGCGACTCAGTCCACCTGACCCTGCACTAACCAACACAACGAGCCCCACGAGCCAATGTGTTGTAAATATTCATGGCCCAAATCCTCAGCTCCTGACTTAATTTTGACTCCTTCCAGCTTGGAAGTAACTTCCCTCATCTCCCTTGAAAATGGTGTTGGAGTAACGCTGTATCCCCACCCCGGGATGTGTCCCTGGGTCTGACGTGGAGAGATGGGTTGCAAAGTCACATGCTAGACAATTAGGAAATGTCAGAATTAGTGGCTGGGACCACCTCGATTTGCCTTCTTGTGCGTGTGCACCACGACACCAGCCTGAGCTGTCCCTTCCCTGCTCTGCAATGTTAATGACTATGCCTGGTGATAATTAATGACCCCTGAATGCCCACATGGGGCTGTCTGGAAGGATGCAGAGGCAAGAGGGAGACCTAGCCCCTCTCACCTCCCTTCTCACTTCTCCACAGGGTGATCTGTGGGATTATAAGCTGTGCGTATCTCTTCTGTCAGCGCTGGCTCCTGGGATACATCCGGAGGAACAAGCTCACTGCCTGGCTGATGGCAACGGAGTAGGCATGCTGGAGGGAGGGCTTTTTACAGCTCAGTGCAGTGGGCTGGTGGGTGTGCTTGGAGACATGTGGATAGCTCTGTGTGCGTATAGCCAAAGATCTCCCCTGCCCTCTCTTCATCCTGCCAACCTCCCGACCCGCTCTGCTGCACTGGATGCACAGCCTGGTCCTTATCCCCCCAGAATTAGCACAGCATCTGGCTGCCTCTTGGTCCTATCCAAGGTCCCTTGTGCCCGGCAGGCAGCGGAGACCCATCCGCACCCTGGAGTGCTCTTCCTTCTGCTTCCAGCTGGACTCCCCATGCTCCCTGCCCCATGGCGAAGGTGGGCTCCCCTCCCTGCTGCAGCTGGAAGAGGAAACTGCCCCTTCCCTGACACCTTTGCTGGCTGCCAGCCCCTGCTGAGGGGAGAAGGGAGCATGAACATCATAGGCATCAACCTTCAGGGACCTCTGAGGTGACAGTCCAGAGCAAGAGCGGTTGGGGAAGGGCTGTGTGATGTGTGTGTGACTGACCTGCCTCTTTCAGCAAGCCGGTGTACTCTGCCTTGGTGGCCCTCCTGCTGTCCTCCATCACCTTCCCGCCCAGCCTGGGGCAGTTCATGGCTTCCAGGGTAAGTCCTGAGCTACCCCTCCGGGTCCTGTGTGTCCTCTGATCACTGGGGATGGAGTTGCCCACACCAGGGTGTTCCTGTCCACACCTTGGAGAGGGAATCTGGCCCCTTCTCCACATGTGGCTTCACTTAGACTTTCTTCCTAAGCTTGGCTACACTTCCAGTCCCTCTCTGCAAATTGCTCGTCCCACTTCCTATGTCATCTTTGTCTGCCCTGAGCTCCCTCTGAAGCCAGCACTGGCCCTGAAGCTGGTATCCCAGTCTTGATATGACTGTAAGTGTTTCGGGCTGGGGCCAATTTTACACATGAGCAATGCCACAGATGTCCATTGAGTTACCCTTGAAGGCAGCTGGCAGCAGAATCAGGCCGCGTCTCTGAGGACAGCTGTGGCGGCCAAGAGGAGGTGGGCCTGTGGGGGATGCATTCATTGTCTCTGCTAGTGAGACCTCCTTCCTTCCTTCCTTCCTCCCCAGCTCACCATGAAGGAGTATCTCTCCTGCTTCTTTGACAACCAGACCTGGGGTGTCCTTTCCCAGAATGCCTCGCTGGCCAGGCCTCTCCAAGTTGACCCAGAAAACCTCTGGATGGAGTGGTGGGACCCTAACATCACCATCTATGGCAGCTTGGTGATTTTTATAGTGATGAAGGTAGGCAGGGTGGGCAGCAATGCAGGGCAGACCTACCGGAGGTAATTTTGGATGAGCTGGTGGAGGTCCTGGGAGCAGTGCAGTTGCTAGAGCAGAGCTCAGTGAAGACTGCAAAACCCACCCAAGAAGCAGCATCTGTTAGCATGCATTGAACAGTGGGCTGGCCTGGTGTGGCTGCCACTTGTGCATGAACTAGCTCGCTGAAAGCTGTGATGGCAATGCAGCCTTCCCTGGGGGAAAGCCCTAGTCTGGTTATGGTTAGGGAAAACCCTGTGTGGATTGAGAGGAAGCCTGGCTGGCAGCTCCTGCGGTGCCCACCTGTCTCACGCTTGGTCCTGAGACCCAGAAAGGCTTTGAGACCAGCTCAGCACAGCCCTTGCAGCCCAGGCCAGGAGAAGACTTCCTTCCAGGTGCCCCGAGCTGCACCTCCTGGGGAAGGGAGGGAGGGCCACCTTGTGATGTCTCCTTCACTCTTTCTCCCTCTTGTCTTTGGTTTTCAAGTTCTGGATGTTGATCTTGGCCACTACCTTGCCAATGCCAGCTGGGTACTTCATGCCGATCTTTGTGTACGGTGAGTCTGTGTCACCCTGGGAGGAGAACCATTTCTGCAGCCGAGCCTGCCCAGAGCATCTTATTGAACCCATTACCGCAACTGGGCATACGGACAGCCAGCTGGAGCAGCTCGTGCATCTCCTCTGCAGAGAGAGGCTGGTGGAGTCCCTCAGCTCTCCAAGGCTCACTCTGCAGGAAGGTCTTGAGAGAGAAATCCCAGCAAGGCCCATTTGCAGCCCCGTGAGCTCAGGTTCCTGCCCCGGTGGGATGTACAATTGGCTGTCGATCTGTGCATTTGAGCTTCTGCCCCACTCTGGACCCACTATAGACCTACAGGCTGGGCATGGTTTGATTTCAGCTCTGACTCTTTGTCCAGGTGCTGGAATTGGGCGTTTGATTGGGGAAGTGGTGGCCTTTCTCTTCCCCCATGGCATCAAATTAGACGGCGCCGCTAACCCCATCATTCCTGGAGGGTACGCGCTGGCTGGTGAGTCTGCAGTGTGTGAACTCCTGTTCTGAGCCCTTGCTAGGGAGTAGGAGGTAACGAATGAGGCTGCAGACACTACACTTGCAAATGCAGGAGTTCAGGGGTTGGACCTGTAGCTTCTGCAAAGCCCTGGGCCCTGGCTACCTTAGATCTGGTTGAGGCAGAAGACCTCACCCATCTGAGAGCTGGGCCATAGCAAGAGGTCATTGCCTGTTTTCTTGTCTTCTTGCCAGGGGCAGCAGCGTTCTCAGGCTCCGTCACTCACACCATTTCCACCGCCTTGCTGGTCTTTGAGGTCACGGGGCAGATTGCCCACATCCTGCCCGTCATCCTGGCCGTGCTCATTGCTAACGCTATTGCCCAGAAGTTCCAGCCCTCCTTCTACGACGGCACCATCATAGTGAAGAAGCTGCCCTATTTGCCCCGGATCAGGAGCAGGCACATTGAGTGAGGCCTCCTCTCTCCTTTGGGAGACTGTGCTACCGCCGGGTGGATTTTGGAGGGGAGCTATGTTGGCCTGGTGGGTGGGTGGCAAGGCAAGCTGGAGCCAAAGGGGATGGGGGTTGGAAACCAAGCCCTGCTGTGGTGCGGTGACCACCCTGTGCCGGGTGTAGGGGCAGGGCGGTGGTACAAGGACCATCCTTAGCTTGGCTGGACATGGTAAGGACCACCAAGCCTTCACATCAGTCTGCCTCTGGCTCACCGCACCCAGGAGGTGCTGGCAGGCCAAGGGACCTCAGCGCAGGGTTCATGGAGAGAACTGTCCTTTCCCTCTCTGACCTTCGGCCCTTCCTCCTCCAGCTCCTACCGCGTGACCACCGACCAGTTCATGAACACTGATTTTGCTGTCCTGCCCAAGGGGGCCACTTTTGAGGAGATCCTCCAAGTCGTGACTTCTACGGATGACTTGGAGTACCCCATCGTGGAAAGCGCAGGTACCAGAGGTGGGGCCGTGTCCCCGATGACATCCCCGGCTGTCCCCGTCCTCCTGGGGCTGTTCATTCTCCTCTCTAACCCCCTCCCCAGGGCTTTAATCCCTTCTTCCTTCCACTTCCCTTTTTCTTTTTGTCTATGATATGAGGAAATGTTGGAAAAAACAGGATTATTTCTTCAAATACCAAAAAAGAAGTGTTGTAAAGAGGAGGGTGACTATTCTCTGTGTCCGTGTGGGACAGGACAAGAAGTAATGGGCTTAAATTGTAAAAAGGGAGATTGAGGTGGGATAATAGGAGGCTGGACCCGATGATCTGCAAGGTCCCTTCCAGCCCCTAACAATCTATGAATAGGATGAACTTCCTAGTTGTGAGGGCGGTGATGCACCGGAGAAGATGCCTAGGGAGGCAGTGGTGTCACTAGCTCTGGCAGGTCCTACGGGCAGGTTAGACAAAGACGAGATGGTTTAGATGGGGATCATCCTGTCACAAGCAGGGGGTTGCACCCCATGACCTCTTGAGGATCCTTCCAGCCCTATTTCGTCTATGGTTTCAGCTCCAGATGCAGGAGCTGAGCATTGCGGCTGCCCGACTTCTGCAGGTCTGGGCGATGACTGGGTCAGACCCGCTGCCTGGGTTGGACACACCACTGGGTTGAGACAATTGCCTTGGAAATGGCTGGTGTTTCCCCTTAGCTGTAGGGTCACCGAGGAAAGGAGTTGCTGCTGCAATGGTGTAAGGGGTCTGAACCACCCGTCCACTGCCTGTGCAGAGTCCTCTCCCATCTTTCCCCTCCTTCATCCCCAGAGTCCTTGTTGCTGGTGGGCACAGTACCACGATCTGAGCTGGTCAAGTTCCTCCAGACCCACGAGGATGCCAAGCTGTCTTCCCAGGAGGCTGGGGAGAAGGACAAGGTAAGCCCAGAGCCCTTGTCTCCCTTGCTCCCAGCTCTGCAGGGGAGAGATCCTTAAGGAAGCGGCTACCATTGCCCCCATTACTAAAGAGGCTGAGTGAGTATCCGGTTGGGATGGGCTGATGGCATGGAGAAGGTGCAGACCTTGGAGAGCAATCAAGGCTGATGAGCAAGGATCCAGAGGAGGGGGCTGGGAGGTTTCCTGGGCAGGAAGAGCCTCTGCTGTAGGAGGGGTGCCTGCATGTCCCATGGTAGTGTCCTCATCAAGGCTTCCTGGTTGTGTCTAGCCCCTTTCCATAGCCTGTGTAGGATTGCTCCCTACCTGGCATTGGAGAGGTTGGAAATGCAGCTGCGGGCACTGTGCACAAGCACCCTGCTTGTTCGAGACAGCACCCCTCTGCCTCTGTTTCCCTCCCTTACAGGCTCTCTGCAGCGGGACACTAGGAGAAAACTGCACCATCAACCCCATCACGTTCCAGCTGTCCCCTTGCACCTCTCTGCACCAGGTAACCACACCGGAAAGGGGCTTTGGGACATGCGGCGCTGGGCCCAGCCAGGGGAGGGGTGGGACTGCCCTGGCTATTACCCTGATCATGGTCTCCAGCTGCAGCCAGGAGCCACCGCAGCTGGGGTGGAAAAGCTCCACGATATCCACAGGTAGACACTTGCTTTACTCCAGCCCTGACAACCCACCCCGAGGCACTGGGATGCTGGTGAAGCCAGGTCCCTGTGCATGCTCTTCCTGGAGATGCTTAGTGCTAACGTGTTCACCGAGCAGTTCCTAGCAGCTGTCTCCCCAGGTCGACACGGCGTGCATTCAGGGCTGCTTCACTTGCAGACGGGTGTGCGTGTGGCCCGGACTCATGGTGGGGAACAGCAGGCTAAAACACATAGGGAGACACACTCAGCACAGAAGCAAGCTCCCCTGCCCATGCCTATCTCCACGTCCTGTTCCAGCCCGCTCCCCTTTACACAGTGCTGTGAGATGTGCTGATGGGGGGCACTCGGTACCAGCCGGAGTTAGTCTGGCTTGTGTTTCTTCCCCTGGGCACTCACATGCAGGGAGGCCGGCATCTAGTGTCGGGTGGTGGGTACTGCAGAGTTGCCTTCTCTGCCGGGAATTTTGGCAGGGCAGAGCAGGGAGCCTTTATCCCTCCTTGTCCAGTGAAGTTGTCCAAATCCGTTCCAAACAGATGCCCTGGGCTACCAAATCCAAGTCACCCCATTGCACAGGGGGAGAGATGCCACAGGGCAAGGGATGGTGAGGGGGGAGGAGACCGCCCCATGGGAGATGTCTGGAGAGGGTGCAGATGATTTGGGCTCCCTCTGTGTAGAAGCACCCTCTGGATCCTGGGGGCATAGACACACAGGCCTCTCGTCCTGCCTGGCTGGGCGAATGACACCCCTTCCACCGAGGAGGTCAAAGCCTTTTGCAAGGGGGAAGGAAGCCCACCTTGCAAAAATAAGAGCTTGGGACTTTTGAGTCCAGTTGCCAGCAGCTGCCTCCTGCAACCCCATTCATGGGACACAGCTTCCTCACCCCTGCAACCTCCCCCTGCAACCTCCCCCCTTCTTGCAGACCCACCACCTGTTTGAGCTGCTGAATCTGCAGCGTGTCTTCGTCACCTCCCTGGGGAGAGTCATCGGGGCTGTCTCAAGGAGCGAGGTATGGGCTCTGCCCGAGGGGAATCAGGACAGCTGGGGCTGGGGTGGTGTCCAGGGAGCAGGGGGATGTGCAGAGGCCCCAGGCCCCATCCTGTCTTGGGCAAGGAGAGGGTGTGGGCAAAGTGGCTGAATGACCCTCCCTTCTGCAAGTGGGGTGGGGGCGTCATTCATTCCCCAGCTCAGATGGTGGGGGTGAGAACAGACCGCACGCCTGCCAGGAGCCTTGCACACCGGCTGATTTCTCCTGCAGGTGAAGAAGGCGATTGAAGATCTGGCAAATCCGAAGACAGCCAAGTGAGAGACTATGAGCCTTGGAGAACAGCCTGCTCCCTGTGCCCTGCCTGCCCCCCATCCCTGCAGCAACGAGCAGGGCCGGGGATAGACACAGATCCAGTGCTGGAAGGAGACCACATAGCTTGCTCCCCCAAAAACATTTCTTGTACATTAAAGTGTTCCTCAAAGCTTGCCTTTCCTTCCTGCTCCTGCCCCAGGCTCAGGGCAGGAGCCATGCATGTGATAGCAGATGTGCCTGTAGCTCTTTGCCCCTGAGAGCCCAGCCCTCACCCGTGATAGCAATAGTGCACTACGTCAGGATGAGCAGTCAATGCAGAGGGCAAGTCCAGGCTACCATGGCTGTAACAGGGGGACACATGCTTGGGACACAGGGGCTTGGGGCTGCTGTCACCCTCTAGACCCACTAAAAGTAAGAGCTCACTACTTAATCCCTGGAGTGCTTTTCCCTTGTTCGTTTGGTACAGAAAGTCCAGGGTCCAGATATCACCGGTTTCTAGAGCAGAGGGCGACATCCTTTAGGAGCAATGGGCAACCCCAGTCACTGCTCTGACTTGGCTGCCACGGTTGCCCCCCGCCACCCGGCTCCCTTGGTACGTGGGGCTCTCCCTTCTCCACAGTGTCACCGAAACCCCTCGCTCCCCAACAACTAACAATATTCAAGCATTGTGGGCTGGATAAAATCACTCCGGCCCATAGACTGCCAACATTGGTGTAGAGAGAGGCAGTTAGGGGGCACGATGTGTCTATAGGCATCTCCTTCTCCCATAGCATCCCTGGGCTAAAGCTGCTGTCCCCATGCGATCCAGTGACTAGCTGCCCGAGCCCAAGTCGAGCGATATGCAGGCCTGAGGACTTCCCGCCAGCCCCCGGAGGAAATGCTGCGGCTGGGGGGTTATGCCCATAGCAATGCGACTGCCTCCGCTGAAGCCCATTGTTTCCAGTCCCGGGGTGCATTGGATCAGAGACAAAGCCAGGCACATGCAGATCTCATCGATCACTTTAATTTCTCCAAGGATACAGAACATAGGGAGGAAAAGACGTCACAGCCGCTGCAGCAACCCCGCCTGTCCCCGGGGGCCCGCTCCCCTCGCCGCTGCAGGGAGCGTTGCTAAGGCGCACAAGATCCATCTCCAGGCAGCACGAGAGAAACCAGCTGGGAGGTTACACAGCTCACTGGGAAAGCAGACGTGTCGGCTGTGTTGCACTGTACAGTGTCTGGCCAAGGACGGAGGCATTCGGGCGATGCTCTGGGGCGGCAGAGGATGCACAGCCATACGTTATGCTCAGCTGCAGGAAGAACATCCCTGCAAGTAGCTTTCTTTAAAGTCCCAGATTTAAGGTGTCCTCTTCAGAGGCTGGGAGTCTGCAAGGGATGTCGCCCTCCACCCGGGTCCTATTGCAGGTGTCAGCATCAAGATGCCTCCTTCACATCAGCTGAATATTATCAGTTATTCCCCAACTCCCTAAGGTAGTTTGGGGTTCCCATCTAACCCATTTCCTCTCTCTCCCGCAGAGAGAGCAGGGTAGGGACCTAGTGTGGGACAGTAGGGTCCATGCACAGCACGAGACACCTAGGCAGATGTGCACAGTGATAGTGCACAGAGCCCAATGTGCACAGTGATGGTGGTAGATCACCATGCTGCGGGGCACAGACCAGGCACAACCATATTGTGACCATATCCTCAAACGGGGATGCTATAGCCTGGTGAGGAGGGCAGGGCCATTCCTGCAGACCCTCCTCAAGCAGCTCCAAGCTCCTGGATGCCATCGCTGGCACATGCCTGGCATTTGAAGACCATCGAGAGGCAGGAACCAGTGTAACCAGCTTGCCTGCCATTCGCCTTTAGGCTGGGCTTTGCAAAGAAGCCCCAGGAAGGTCGAAGCCTGGTTGCTACTGGAGTGAAATGGGACACGGGGGTCTAACAACCTTTGAAACTCAGGCTGATTCCCTCCTCCTAGCCAGCTCATGCTTGCACCTTGCCAAAGCCACCAGTGCCAAGGGTTAGATGGAGCCGAATGCCTCTTTGCAACAGGGCAGGCTGAGGAGCCTGGGGATGGGCCTGTATTTAAACCTGCCAGGAGCTTGTCTGAGCTACACAGAGACAAGAAACCAAAGCATTGGTGCATAAGCCACACACACACGCTGGAAGATCCTAGGACAGACGGCTGCAGCTGCAGAGCAGGTATCAAATGCACAGGGAAGAGGATGCCTTTTGGGCGCTTCCCAGCCCTCGAGGGAGCCCGGCTGTGTCTGCCACCCCCCTCGTTCTTGCATCAGTGACACTTAATGCAGACCAGTGGCCTCGGAAACAAATCAGAGCCTCAGCTGTGGTGTGTGTGGCATCAGTCCAGATGTGGCCTGCTCTGGAGGACTAGACGAGGCGCAGTGAGACAGCCTCTTCCCTGCCATCCTCTGTCTAGACAGTCACTGCTGCGGGGGCCTTCTCCCCACACACCACGGTGAACCCAGAGGCGGCTGCTTCTGCAAGTCTCCAGGAAGCCGGGGCTGAACGGGCGCGAGTGATCTGAGCGGAAGATCTCCCTGCTGCCCCAGCCCTGTCCGCTCGCTCCTGCGCTGGGGAGAGCGGGGAGGGAGCATCTAGTTATAAAACACTTCATCCTCCGAGAGGGAGCTGCTGTCCACGTAGCGGAGGGAGCTGGTGAGGTGCTGCTGGAGGGTGCTGCTCGCGCTCTCCTGCTCTCTGGCTGAGCTGGCCGGCTCCTTCTCCATGCTTCCTAGCTGGGAGCTCCTGGCGTGGGGGGAGCCACAGGGCAGAGCCCCCAGGGAGGGGAGGCTTGAGTTCCACTCGTCTGCCGTGGGGTGTCCCCGGGGTGGTGGGGACGTGCACGTGGAGGGGCAGAAAGCTGGCAGGATGCCTTCTAGCTGCGGGCTGCTGATCGCCTGGGGACTGGGCAGCATCTTTTCCTGTAGGTAGATGCCCTCCAGGTCTGCAAGCAAAGGTATTTTGAGATGGGGGGAGGTTGTTAGAGACTCAGCAGGGTAAAGGAGACTCTCAACTTGCAGGGCCCTGAGACAGAAGCACCCCAAGGCCAGCAACTGTTTTGGCAGCTACTGATTCTGGGCGCCCATCCCGAGACCCCGATTCTCAGAGGTGCTGTGCACCCCAGCGCCCTCCCAATGCAGCTCAGGGTGTTCGGTACATCTGGGCCCTGATCCTGTCCCAATGCTACAGCTGTCATTGGCTTTGTGGAAGAAACCCCAGGGAGGCAGAGCTGGCTAGTCAAAGAGGAGTCTGTGATGTCCTAGACAGCCTCTTGGAAGACGCTACACAGGGCCACGGCCAGATGGTTTCTGGTGCAAGACACCAGTGCGTGGGGCATCGAGATCCCAGCCAGAATCTGTTGCACACCAGTGCCACAACACACAAAGTGTGGCAGCTGGGCCTATTTCTGCTGCTCCCAGAGCGAGGGGAGCTGACAAGGGACTGCAGCCCTTCCCGAGGGCTCTGGGTTTGCATGCTTTGCAATCAGTGCTGGAAGGGACCCGATCAGCATTTGCAGGGGAGATGACTTCTGAATGGGGGCACCAGCAACATTGCAGCCTGATCCCAACAGAGCAGGGAGGAGGTACCTGGAAGCTGTATGACATCCTGGGAGCTGCCCCCATAGTTGATTTCGTCATCATCTAGCGAGGACCAAGCACTCAGGGTGGCTTCGGTGATGGCAAATTGCTCCGCTACACCTGGACGGGACCACAGGAAACCCAATGCAGGTGAAGAGGGGATGGGAGAGAAGCCAGGCCAGGCTCTCACTGTGGTTGTCCCAGGGAACCATTCCACTGGAATCAGTCTCAGCCTGGATCAATTGTAGAGTAACCAAGAGGCGCATGTGGCTTTTCCCTGGTAAACCCACAGGGTCCATCAGTGCTACCAGGCTGGCTCAAACCATGCTCCATCCACCTCATGTCCTGTCTCCAGCAGTGAGCAACATCACCAGCTCCAGAGGAAGCTCCAAGAAACCCTGGGATGGGATCACCTGTTCCTATCCTAGTGCAGGGGGTCTCCGTGGCTAGACAAGAAGGTCTAAGCTTTTAGGTCCTGCCCGCCCTAGGCAGCCCATTGGGCTAGCCTGGTTAATGCATACCGGTTTTGGTAGTCATGACATAGCAGCGTGGCCAGCCCGCTGTTCACCCCCCACCCTGCTTGATTACATACCCAGTTACCCCGGTCAAATTAGGGAACTCTTCAGGACAAGCCCTGGATCTGCGGGGAGACACAGGCATTGCCGGACTTGTCGCTTTCCTGGCAGCTACCTGCTGGGGGGGTCTGCAGCTGCCTTGCCCGCGACTCCCCGTCTACCTGCTGCAAATCGTGCCTCCTTCAGCTCATCGGTGAGGTAGGAATACTGGTCTTCGTCTGGCAGCGATGGCTCCCAGCCCGACTGCGGGGCACTCCAGCCTTTCCACTCGATGAGGTGAGCCACCCGGCCCCGGGCCATGGCTGTGGGCTTGGTGATGTGATCCTTGATGGTTTGGACCAACCCTAGAGCAGAGACATGGGGTGAGCTCGATGGAAGCAGGCAAGGTTGGGAGCTCCTGGACCGATTGCACTAACACTGGGCGTGGGAGGAACCATCTGTATTACAGTCTGGCTTCCTTTCTGGATGGCAAGTGCACCATGGTTTAATATCTCCCTGCAGCAGCACCCCATCCCTCCAGCCCCACACGGCCTCTTCTTGCCACTCTTTCAGTATGGATGATGCTTTTAGGCATTTTCCCCGGAGCCTCCCAGCTTTGCTTTGGCACGTCTCATTGAACAGAGAATTACCGGACACTTCGCTGGCAAACACTGCCTCTCACGGAGGGTACATTTCTATGGCACTCACATGCAAGCCTTAGCTGCCCTCAATAAAGCCCAGCAAACAGCGACATTCGAGTGGCACTAGACGTGGTCATTCCACGCAGAGCGATGCTACATTTCACCATAGAAAATGTCCCTTTCTTTTTAGGAGTGAATTAAGCACTGGTGGGAGGGGCTGGAGTGACGGCCATGGGAAGGAAACTCCTCGGGATGCTCTGATGAGAGCATATGGAGCCCCAGATCAGGTACAGCATTGCAATGACAAGACTGGACACTTCACCCACGTCCTGGAGACAAGAAAGTTCAGGCTCCAGAGCTCTCCCATCCCATGGCTTTGCTTTTCTACTGAGGTTGCTACCAAGAGGGTCAGATACTGCCATGGAGGGGGTGATCCTTTTGGCACTGGGGACAGCAGTCCATCAGGAATGACACTGAGGCCTATCAAACTCATTATGCCTAAACCAGCAGCTACAAAGTCACCACACTTAACAAGTAGGGGTCCAATCCTCACATACATCTAATAGGACCAGCCAGACCCACATCAGAATTGGAGTAGGTACCTGCTTTTGGTACTTTGCTGTCCTCAGCGATTTGGGCTGGATCCGGGGTGAAAACCCCTGCAGCTTTGGGAGGCAGGTCACCAAGGGGCTGCCCCAAAGCCCATTGAAGCCAGTGAGGTGCCTGCTAGGGATCAGGCCTTATGTTGGCACAAGTGGCAACCACCTGTTTTAGAGCTGGCTTCATCACACGTGCTGCAAACATGCCAGCCCCACCGAGTGATCTTGGAGCATCCTTAGGGAATGAAGAAGTTCATTTTCAGGTCCACTTTCCCTGCTTTGGGTCTGATTCTGGAAAAGGCAGTCAAGGCCCCATCAGGAAGGGGTCTGACAAAGCTTGGGGATTTGGCTATGCTGGGTATAAAGCACTGACTCTACCTCCGGGAAGGCCATGTCCCACGCAGAGCTGGGATGGGGCTCTAAAAAGTTGTGTGCGCATCTCTCACTGGGTGCATCGACACGTGCATTAACGTGCTTTAGTTAATTAAATCCATTGTGAGGTACTAGGCAAATGTGCATTAACTAAAGAGCGTGGTTTTAAAGTGCTGCTTAATGTGCATTAGTCTATTTTAATGCACATTAATTAAAAAGCATGTTTTTTTAGTGACACTTTAATGTGCATTAAAATAGGCAAATGAGCCTTAAAGTGCATGTGTAGACACACCCTGTCTCTCTCTCTGGGTCCCCCACACCCTCCATTTCTAGCTCCTGACTAGACTTGCACACGCTGCATGGCCATAGCTGCTGCTTGGTTCTGTCTGGATGCAACACCTCAGAGATGTCTCCCTTGCCAGAGCGGTCACCGGATTCATTGCTTCGACAATAAGGATAGGAGCCGGGGATGGGATGGAGAATCGCCTGGGGAGGCAGTACTGGGTTGTGAATCTCGGAGTGGCCATCTTGCACTGGACTCTGTGTTCATTGGGGAAAAACTGAACATTTGGGGCTTTTTCAGGGTTTGTGGGCAGAGGGAGAGGCATTTCCACCAAATCACCCCAAAGCCTTCTTGCTTCTCTGCCCAATTTGCCAGGGCCGCTTCCTCCCCAGTGGCCACCAAAGCCGAGCATTTGTCACTCAGCCGTGGGCACCATGAGCTTCGCAGAGGAAAGGGAGTCTGGCCAGACAGCTTAGTGACTGCTGTCTCCATGGAAACAAACACTTTATTAATCTCCACATTGCTCAATTAATTATGCTGGTGGACAGCACTGCTCTGAGAAGATCCTGGAGCTGAAAAATTGCCCTGGCTTCACCGGGCATGCGAGAGCCCGGGTCCAAATTTGGGACAGGCTCCCATGCCTTGCTTCTGCTTGGGCTGGACCCACACAGGGAGGGAGGCAGGGAGCCCCAGCCATAACTATGGGGGGGATTTAGAGGCATGCCCGAATGGCAGCCCCCGTAGAGCCGATGCAATGGGCTGCTGGAGGGGAGCCTGCCGTGGGGTGCCAGCAGCCCACATCAACCTCCGCAGTGCCCAGCACCCACACCCCAGGGCACCAAAACTCCTCTGGCCCTAACCCTAACCCTGCTCTAGGCAATGGCATTCACCCCAACCCCAACCTTAGGCCGAAGCAGTGACCAAACTAAGGCCTTTTAGCACATTCAAGTCAAGACTCAGGTGTATCTCAGGTGTGTTAGCCCATATCAGAGCCTTTGGGAGGACTGCAGGGCTTGTGTGACCAGCGGTTGGGCACAATAATGATCCTTTTTCTCTTCCCTAGAGCCAAGTCCTGGCTCTTCTCAGCCCCGTGAGCTCTCCCAGGCCTGTTCCTCTGAGATATCAAGGGTCCTTGCAAATTGGCTTTGGAGGGAGTCAGGCGGGATGCCACCCAGGTCTGAACAGGGACAGCACAGGACTCGAAACCGTTCCCGGGGGCTCTGTTTAAATGGGGAATGATGAGAGTCCCGCCGCGAGTCCCCGAGACAGTTTTCTCAAACGCTCGGAGCCCCGAGTTTCACCCCCTTGGAGCGAGACCTGGCAAGGGGGGACTCGAGTGTCTCCAGCTGGGGCTCCGCTGATAGAAAGACGAAGAAGACGGGAAGACGGGAGGGCTGGTCTTTACCTACCCACCAGAGAGGAGGTCGCCAGGGCCGTGACGTTGTAAGTGCTGGAGCCCGACTTGGAGTTGGAGAGAATCCCATGGGAGGTCTTGAAACATTTCTGCAGAGACAGGAGACGGTAAAGGTGGCGGGGGGGGCTCTGAGCAGCCTTAGCCACATCCATGCAGAGGGACAGGAATGACGGAGGAATCCTGTAGACCTCCGAGCTAAAGGAGCCCCAGACGGCTCAGCAGCCCCAAGCACTGATGGTACCTGGGGGCGACTTCTTCCCATCAAAGCTCAGTATGAGCTGCCCCTCTTACAGTAGCACCCTGTGCCCCTAAGGCTTGTCTGGACACGGGAAACCAAGTGAGGCAAAGAGCAGCCAGCTTGCGCTCACCTGCAACGGGTCCCAGCAGAAATCCATCTGGTTTTCCTGAAACAGAGCAGAGGAGAACGCCTAAAATAATGGCCAGTCCCAGAGCTGCCCCATCTGCAGGTGCCCCCTCCTCCATCATCCCCTGCATGGCTTTTATGGGACGGAGATTGCCGCAGCACTCCGGGGAGGGTGGGTTTTGTCACTTCTGGGGGTAGCACTTAGCACAAGGAAGCACCGAATAAGACTCCTGGGCACGGCAGATGCCTTCCTCCACCAGGAGCTCCA